TGTGTGTGTGTGTGTGTGTGTGTGTGTGTGTGTGTGTGTGTGTGTGTGTGCCTACATCCACACTAACTGGAACACTGACAGTTGGAGAAATGTGAAAGTGTAGCTCTAATGACCTGGTATTTAAAGTCGGTGGGAAATGGTGACAGGAGTATGCTGCACACAGACCAAAATACATCTTCAGGGAAAGATATTGTGTGAAAATGTTTTAGATTTTGAATAGAGCCCTGGGTTACATCATGTCAGCCTCCCCTGTTTAATTATGAAATTATTCCACTCTGTACCCCATACTTTACTTTCTTTGTCGGGCTCCACACAAACTGTGCTGGAATAAAGAATAAATAGTACACAGCAGGAATAAGTACCAAACAGGAGAAATATATGCAATCAAGAGAGATATATACAAAACAAGAAAAAGGCACACATTGGAGATCAACTTTCAAAGTGCTTTGAAGTATTGCAAAGAAGAAGAGTTGGTCAGAACAGAGTGCGTGTGTGAGTGGTCTGAGTGATGGGAGTTACGCAGACCATGGATCAGATTGGTGAGATGAGGGGGCAGGGGTGAGGGTGGAGGCACAGTGTTTGTTGACAGTGGGAATGGCCCAGGGGAAGAAGTTTTTTGTGAGCCTGGAGGTGTAGGACCTGATTGCCCTAAGGCACTGACCAGAGGGGCAGTGCCTCAGGGTGTCCTGCACCTCACCCTCTAATGAGGATCTGACGATGTCCTCCAGGGGTGGCAGACAGCAGCCAATGATTTTTTGGGCAGTGTTAAATTACCCTCCTGTTCTTAGTAGTGGCCCCTGTGTACTAAACACCCAGGCACTAGGAGAGCACGCTCTCCACTGAGGAGCAGCAGAAGGCCAGCAGCAGCTTCAAGGTTATTCTTCCTCAGAACACTGCTGGGCCTTCTTTACCAGGGCGTTAATGGTGTGGATCCAGTTGATGTCAGCGGAGATGTGGGTGCCCAGAAACCTGATATTGAAGACAGATTCCACCCATTCCCCATTTATAATTAGAGAGGAGTGGACCTGTCTATGCCTCCTGAAGGCCATTATGAGTTCTTTTGTTTAAAGGACTTACCTGCAAACACAAAAGTTTAAGTTGTATCTACAAGCTTTAACTTGATACTAATTTAAGACTTACATGGTAAATTCACACCGTGTCTTATCAGAGTGCCAATTTGTACAGCATTCTATCCTGTTGTGAATGATCTCTTCACTTGTCTTTACAAATCTTAATGATATATGTACACACAGTCCTGTGATAAAACGTACACACAGTTCTTTGAAAAACTAAGTACTCCATGATTGTAGAACCACCGTTGCAGCAATAACTTGAAGTGATTGCTTTCCACATTGTTGTGGAAGTATTTTGGATCACTCTTGAGTTGATTCATTTATGCACAGCTCTCTTAAGGTATTTTGGTCAGGTTGAGGTCTGGACTTTAACTGGGCCACTGCAACACCTTCATTCTGTTCTCTTGCAAACATCATGCTATGCATCGTGACCAAACATCTCCACTTTGGTCTTGTCTGTACAAAGGACATTTTTCCAGAAGACTCCTTTTTAGAGAGAAGAACGTTTTTCCTGACAACGCTTCCAAACAAGCCATCCTTGTTCAGGCTTCTTCTAACTGCAAATGTGTAATGAAGTGATCCTTATATAGCACTTTTCTGCTCTGATTAAGCACTTATTATTTATTTTACTGCAGCTGCTTATGCATACATTTTTTGTACAGCTGGTTGAGGATGATGCAGGTATTTGTGTCTATCGTTGCTGAGATAATAAATTTAGGTTTCTCAGTTGTACTTTTTGGGTGGGAGGCTCGTATTGTTACATCACTTTTATTTGGTAGATCCAGTTTATCCATAAGATCTTGATATAAGGGCTTCTAACAACATATGTGCATGACCCCATTTGAACCTAGATG